GATCGACTGGAACATATGTGCACATGCATCAGGACGGACGGACGGCGAGGGCATCAGAGATATAGACAAGGCAACACACCAACTTGTGCGCCACCTCGGCGTCTTCTCCTACGAGTCCATACCAGCATCGAGACGACAACGGAGACGAACGCGGTGGCCACGACGATACCCGCGATGGCACCCTTGCTCATCCCAGCACGCTCCTCCGGTTCCGGCGTAGGCAAGCAGCTACCGTCCGCGCTGCCATCCACGAAGAAGGTATCAGAGATGGCCGACCGCCGTATTTCGGACGAGTCGGCGACGATCAGCTGTAACGCGGTCCCCGCTGTGATGTTGATCGTCCAGACGGCGCTGGTGGAGGGCAGGGAGGAAAATTCGACGTACACCCGGTTGAACGAGGTGACGGCGAGGTCGTAAGGGGGCGTTCCGCCAGTCCAAGTGAGATTGACCGGGGCACATTGGAGAGGCTTCGGGGGAGCGGCGACGGTCAAGTTACTTGTCGCCATGAGGGTGATGAAGTGGGCAGCGATGCCGAGGGCTCGAGTGATGTCCTCAGGAGAAGATCGAGAACGTAGGAGGGAATGAAGAAACACGCGAACTGGGCAGGACTATATCCGTACTGGGGGACAGTTAGATGCTGTACTGGGCATAAAAAGGTATACTGAACTCACCACTGGGTGATGGTACCTGGCCACGTACGACCAGCGACGCTGTGCGGGAGAGCAAAAACCGTGCGTCGTCCTGCATCTCGCCCAATACATACGCATCTCCAAGCGTCACCCAGATCACGACCACGAGAGCAGCTCCAATCAAAGGCTGCGGTTGCAGGGAGTGTTAGCCTATTGCGTCCGTACGCCGTTAGTGCGAGGCTGTGGTGAATCACGTACCGCACGATGCCGTTCGAACCTCGTTGAACGCAATCTGCCACTCATCGAGGATCCCCGGCTGTACTGTTGCGAACCTCGAGGAATCTGGCGGGCAACACAAGCCTGCTCGGAAGTGGCGAGTCGCCAAAGACTAGTCTTTGCTGCGACCTCGCCATGGCTCGGCTCTCGGGGTACGGCAATGTAGGACCACGATCATGGGAACTATACTCCCTACACGAGCCTAGCGCGCGATCATATAGACGGTTCGGGTGTCGTCTTGCGAGCGACCTATGTCAGGGAGTACAGCACCTTCAAAGACGCTGTGCACATACCCGAAGCCTCCGCCATCACGGACCCTCGCCTCGGGAATGTAGCAACAGGTCAAAGCTCTGCCAAGGCCTGATATACCGCATTCCGAACCCCTTGTGTGTCCACTGTCTAGCCTGTAGACGGTGTCCAGCCGGCACCAAGAGCATTCGGAACGATTGCGGGTGTGCGAGGGGTTGGACGATCACCGACGTCAGTGGAGGCGCAGGATGTGCCGGATATGCTGAAACCCGCCGTGGGCGCAAGGATGGCGCTGCGCCGCGGCAATGTGGATGACTGGAGGCTGGGGAATCGACCCAGGCGGTCTGCGCAATGCTTTGACGGAAGTTGCAAGTGGAGGGGTGCTACGACCAGTATCTAGTCTTGCGATGACACCTGCGAGAGTCTCACATCACAAGCGCCTATGATCACACACGGCGAGAACGGTACCTCTGAAAATATGTTTGCTACACTTCGGGTGGGATTGGCTGGAGATGTTTGGTTTACACGAGATAAATGCAAAGGGAGCCGGACGCGATTGCTGTTCGACAAATGGGAAGGTTGCTTCACCTGAGCATCGGACCGCCGCTTACAGAGTCCTGCAATCGTTTCAATCTTCTAGGGAAGATAAGAGGTGCCGGTTGGGAGGCTCGAAGGTTCAGCTTCCCGGCGGAACGCGGCGGTCATGACGAATATGAGTACGCCAATAGAAACGAACCGTACGCGACGCTCCAGATTGTGTCCGGCATGAATGAATCCAGTCGATGTCATGGGCTTATGAAAGGGGCAGATTACGGCTCTGCCAAGACGTTGGTAGCAGTAGCCAGGGATGGTAGAATACAGGAGGCCAATGTCGCTCTGATGAGCGGGCGCGTAGTTTAGCCTGGTCGTATGTTTTAGACACCGTACAATTCAGTTCTGCAGAAGGGGAGCACACCTGACTGACAAGAGCGGGGGATATATCATGACGAGGCCTTTGCTACCTCCTCAGCAGCCCCCTGCTTCTCCCTGATCAGCAACCGTAACCGCATGCCCTCCCAGCCCAACAAGTCCGGCTTTGTGTTCAGCAGGTACTTGTCGATGTTACCATGCTACGCCCAGTGTCAACTCCCTCCGCCTACCCTCAACGTTCAGCGATAGCCGCAGACACACCTTCTTGATCGTCTTCAAAGCCCTCGCGGTGACCTTGAGCCTCACAAACCGCTGGAGGGCGTCGGAGAAGAGGCGTTGGTTGTGCACGTTCGGGAGCCACGTCCGGCGCGTCTTGTGCTTCGAGTTCGGCACGCTGTTCCCGTACTGTTTCGTCTTCCCCTGGAACAGACCGAGCTGGGAGCGCTTGAACGGCGCGCTGACGACCGCGAACAGCGGTATTGAGGGGAACATGGCGAGCGGGAGTTGAGGACGGAGCCGGAACGGTGGACCTCGAGCGCGGCGGCGAGCGGTGAGTTGTCCGCGAGCAATTTGGCGCTAAGTCCACTTATCGAGACTTACTCACCGCCGGCAGCACATTAAGGCTATCTGATAAGATAAGATGACTAGTCCCATGATGATGACTGCCCCCGCCCGCCGCTGGCATTGGCAGACGTCGTGATTCGGCCGAGGTTCTCGCACCGTATCCCAGGCCTGTTAACTGCTCGTCGCTATACCTTTTCTCCCAGCACGCGGTGCATACATAAGTAAGCTGCCGGTCGCCGCCCAGCGTGTCCAACGACGCTCCTTTTTCCTCTGCCACCACCACCACCGTACCACGCTATGCTGTCGCGCTACGCCTCCCGCCCCCTTGCTGGCCGGCACTATGCCCCTGCCGCCGCTGCTGCGTTCAAGCGCGGCTTCGCGAGCAGCTCCATCCGTCTGCGTGAGTGCGCTATGTTATATGTCCCCGAACCTCATTGACGAGTGCCTTCGTTACTGTCTTGCTGGGCCTGTGCATCACGTCGCGTTGCGGTGGATGCATGCGGGGACGGCTGGCGTATGTGGGGAAATGACGCGCGTGCGCAGAGAACAAGATCACGGTCCAGAACCCCGTCGTCGAGCTCGACGGAGACGAGATGACGAGGATCATCTGGAAGAAGATTCGCGAGGAGGTGCGTCCTGCGCCTCGCCGCCCTTGCGCTGTGTGTATCTAGCTCACCCGACGACGCGCAGTTGATTCTGCCGTACCTCAACCTCGACATCAAGTACTACGACCTCGGTCTCGAGCACCGTGATGCGGTGCGTCTCTCTTCGCCTCCCTCCTCACCTCCTCCCCCGCGGACATGGGCATGGGCGTTGAGATTGACAATGGCCCCACGGAGGACAGACGGACGACAAGGTGACCGTCGAGGCGGCGGAGGCGATCCTCAAGTACAAGGTCGGCATCAAGTGCGCGACGATCACGCCGGACGAGGCGCGCGTGAAGGAGTTCAAGCTCAAGCAGATGTGGCGCAGCCCGAACGGCACGATCCGCAACATCCTCGGCGGCACCGTCTTCCGCGAGCCGATCGTCCTCGACCGCATCCCCCGCCCCGTGCCCGGCTGGAAGAACCCGATTGTGATCGGGCGGCATGCGTTTGGGGACCAGGTGCGGGTTGTTTGAGTTTGAGAGAGAGGTTGGGTTGTGTGCTGATGGAGACTATGGGGTAGTACCGCGCGTCGGACTTCCTCGCGCCGGGTCCGGGAAAGTTGCAGCTTGTGTACAGTCCTGCGGACGGCGGTGCGCCGACGAAGATTGACGTCTATGACTTCAAGGGCGCTGGCGTCGCGCTCGCCATGTACAACACCGACGAGGTGAGTAAATCGCGTTGCATTGGAGCTCCGTCGCTCAGTGTCCCTTCCTAGTCCATTCGTGGCTTTGCCCACTCTTCGTTCAAGATGGCGCTTTCGAAGAAGCTCCCTCTGGTGAGTGACCCTGAGACTCGAGAGCACACTACGTGAAGGATTCTGAATGGCGCGCGGTAGTTCATGTCCACGAAGAACACGATTTTGAAAAAGTATGACGGCCGCTTCAAGGACATCTTCCAGGAAATCTACGAGAGGTATAAAGTCTATTGCCCGGTGACACCGATCGCGCACTGACGTGCCTCCCAGCGAGTACAAGTCCGCGTTCGAGGCGGCAGGGATCTACTACGAGCACCGGCTGATCGACGACATGGTGGCGCAAGCGATCAAGTCCTCGGGCGGGTTCGTGTGGGCGTGCAAGAACTACGACGGGGACGTGCAGTCGGACATCCTCGCGCAAGGGTTCGGGAGCCTGGGGATGATGACGAGCGAGCTGATCACGCCCGCCGGGGACGTGATCGAGAGCGAGGCGGCGCACGGGACGGTGACGCGGCACTACCGCGAGTGGCAGAAGGGGAAGGAGACGTCGACGAACCCGGTCGCGTCGATCTTCGCGTGGACGCGCGGGCTGCTGCACCGCGCGAAGCTGGACGGGAACGACGCGCTCCGGACGTTCTGCCGCGAGCTCGAGGCGGCGTGCGTGGAGGTGATCGACAAGGACGGGGTGATGACGAAGGACCTCGCGCTGGCGATTCATGGGAAGAACATGAAGCGCGAGCACTGGGTCGTGACGGACGTCTACATGGACAAGGTCCACGTAAGTGGCCGTGGCTCCTGCCTGGAGTCGATTCTGACTTCTTTTCAATTGCAGGACAAGCTGAAGCAGAAGCTGGCTGCGACCAAGACGCTATGAGCGGGGACGCTCTGGCCATATACATACCTTCAGTCTTGGATTACGCATGTGTAGTTGTACCCCTTGACACTTGATGCAGTCGATGTTGTCTTTCTTCGCACCCGTGGCATGCACCTGCCGTACCGTCTCATGGAGCATGTATGATAGGACGTACCAACGGCCGGCTGGCCTAATGGTTAAGGCGTCAGTTTCCGGTTTCCGGAACCAGCTGAAGATTCTGGGTTCGACTCCCAGGTTGGTCGTCCACTTGCCCGCTTAGCTCAGTGGTAGAGCGCGCCACTTGTAATGGTGAGGTCGGTTGTTCAATCCAGCCAGTGGGCAGCTCGGCGCTATAGTGTAGTGGTTATCACTTGGGATTCTGACCCGCTCGGTGTTCCCAAAACCCAGGTTCGAGCCCTGGTAGCGCCTGCATCGTTTTGCCTGTCTGGCCTACAGGTGCGATGGTGGCGTTTTGGTGGCACGGAGAGAGGCTTGTTTGGGGACTGCCACCGGGGACGCGAGGAAGGGGCGGCCTCGGGCGGGGTGGCTGTGTCGGGGATCTCGGGTGCGGTGCTGGATATGGACACGCGGAGACCGAAGGGGGAATAGGGTGGCGGGGATTCGCCATTCTGGGCGAGGGTCTGATGTGCGGTGAATGAGGAAGAACACCTTCTCGCCCGACTGCCATGCCCCGCCCGGCCGTCCCTGCCTCTGCCCCAGTCCTAGTCCCAAGCCCAGCACACACCCCCGCCCACTGAACAACCACCCTCTGCCCTTGTCGCGCACGACGCGCCCCTGGACAGCCGCCGCCACCGACACACGATGCCGCTCTCGGCCCGCCCAACGCGCGGAGAGGGCGAGAGCACAAAGGAGCGGACGGCCAAGGCCCAGGAGCAGGAGCTCAAACGCGCAAGGGGTGCGATATCTTGCGCAGAATGCCGCCGCCTCAAGCTCAAGTGCGACAAGACCGTCCCCTGCTCGTCCTGCAAGCGCAGGGGGTGCGCCTCCATCTGCCCAAACGGCAGCCTCACCACCGGCCAGGGCACCAGGTCAGTCTCCTCCTCGGGCCGTCGCGTCGCGTCGGGGCGGGGCGGACGCGTTGGGTGGCGAGTGGCTCACATCGAAGGACAGGTTCATCCTCGCGGACACGGACCGTCTACACCGCAAGATTGCGGAGATGAGCGACCGCATCCGCAATCTCGAAGACGGCCTCGCCATCCTCCACTCCCACAACAATCCCACACGAGAGCCCCACCCGCTCTTGAGCGCTGACCTGCTCAAGATAAAGTCCGGGCTCGAGCTGCACTCCGCCACCCGCTTCGCGAGCGGGAGCGGAGGCGGCGGTGTTGATATGACAGAAAATACGGAAGACGACGAGGAAGAGGTACAGTATATCGACGCGTTCGGGACGCTCGCCGTGCGTGACGATGGCGCAGCGACCTTCTACGGACGCTCAGCCGGCTCGGAGGTGCGTGCAACCTCCAATCAACCCTGGGCAATCGTTGAACATACGCCTTCTTCCAGAGTTTACTCTTAGTATGTCTCGGAACCGATCAGATCGCTACTCGCACTCACCTTGCCCCCGCAGGACGAAAAACCGCAGCTCACGGTCTCCACCCTCGGCCACCCCACGAGTGCGCACCCCGACCTCCCACCAGAGATCAACCGCCTCGCGGCCACGTTCCCCTCCGGCCCGACCGACCTGCCCGTGTACGACCTCCAGGAGCTCGTGGCAAGCTACCTGCCGCCATGGGAGCGCGCGGCGCAGCTGCGCGACCTCTACCTCGAACAGGCGCCCTGGTTCTTCGGCGCCGTCACCCGGCGCCAGCTCGACGAGGACGTGCTCCCGCTGTTCTACGACGCCGCCGCGGAGGAGGCGCGCGCGCGCGTCCGCATGGGCAGCAGCGCGCCCTCCGGGTCCGCGGACGCGTTCAACCTCCCCGCGGCGAGCACGCAGCCGTCGTCGCACGACCTTGCGCTTATGCTCGTCGTGTTCTGTTTTGGGGCGCTCACGGACCCGTCCCTCCCTCCGGCGCCGCATAATGAGGAGGCGGCGCGGTATTACCAGCTCACGCGCGCTGCGCTCAGTTTGGAGCCGGTGTTGGACCGTCCGCCGAGCCTGACGACGGTCCAAACTCTTAGTCTGATGGGTATCTATCAGGTAAGCTCAGTCGTAGTCGTTGTGAGGCCCCCGCTGTGATGACGAGAGGTTGTAGGGTATGGTGGCGGACGAGCATAGTATTGAAACGACGTGGGCACTCATGGGGCTCGCGTCCAAGTTGGCTCAGAGTGTAAGTCTAGCTCGCGTTGCGACGATATGCTACTGACATACGAGCTGCGCAGGTTGGTCTCCGTGAGTTTCACTTGTCCATGGGCCCAACGTGAACTATCTCATGTCGATTAGACCGCGACAGCGCCCGTTGGAAACTGTCCTCGGCGGAGGTGCAAAAACGACGCGCCCTGTTCTGGGAGCTGTTCATCACGGACTGCTGGCAGGTAGGCAATGACTTGCCGGATCGACGCCGTATACAGCCTGACGGATTTCTGGCAGGCCTTGGCCACGGGCAGATTACCCACCTTCTCCCTTGAATTCGTCGACGCAGAGCTTCCCGCAGATCCGGATCAGACCATGTCCGACGACGGAACACCCCAGCCAAGCTGTACGTCCCCCCACACACTCTCACATCGCTCCTCCTATCATCATCACTCACCCAAACTCCCAATCCAATCCAATCCAACCCTCACCCCGTAGTCCCCGCGTGGAAGGCGCTGTGGGGCAAGGTGTGCGTGTCGAACGTCGTGATGGGCACGCTCACCGCGCAGGCGCCGAAGTACTCGGTGATCCTCGACCTCGACCGGCGGATCCGCGACACGCCGCTCCCCGCGTACGCGCTCGGCGCGCCGCCCGAGAACGCGGGGCTCGCGCAGACGATGTCGCACTACATGCCCACGAACTACCTCCACCTCAGTGCGTCCCCTCTCCTCCCCCTCCCCCTCCCCCTCCCCCTCCCCCTCCCCCTCCCCCTCCCCCTCACGCCGTCTGTGATGCCCCCCGAGCTGACTCCCGGCGTGCCCGCCCAGCGCTGCTGTACGTGCACCGCTGCTTCTTCGCGCAGGCGATCCTCGACAACCCCGCGGACCCGATGCGGAGCCAGTACGCGCCGTCGTTCCTCGCGGGGTACCGCAGCGCGAGCGCGCTCCTCGGTGCGCTCCGCGAGCAGTTCGCGCACTTCCCCGTCCAGATCGCGCGCTTCTGGGTGCTCTGGACGCACGCGTTCTCCGCTTGCGTGCGTACCCTCTCCCACCTCCCCCACTACCCCCCTACCCCCATTCCGTGTCTCCGTGAGCGGTGGATGATATCGCGGCGACTGATGATGGGTACTGCAGGTGATGATGGGGTCCGTCGTGACCCGCGGCGGGACGTCCAAGACGGCGCAGGCGGCGCTCAGCGAGCTCCGGATCGCGTGCGACCTGTTCGAACGCGCAGCCACGCACGGCGGACGCGCCCGGAAATTCCTAGTACGAGTCTCCTCCCCATTGCTGTAAAATGTCCGCTCGACGCTGACGGGACACCGCGCGCGTCCGCCAGCCGGTGGTGCGCAAGATGCACGAAAAGGCGCAGGCGGCGTACTTCCGCGGGTTCCAGCCGCTCCGGCGCGACATCTTCGCGCCGCGCGCGGACGACGGCGAGCACGTCGACGAGCTCTCGATCTTCACCGGCCGCACCGCGCGCACGGTCGCGACAAAGTCCGGCCGCCCGCAGCGCCTCTCGCCGAGCGCGTCCTCCGCGGGCACGCCCGCAGACGCGTCTCAGGCCGCGGGGAGGACGCCGGGCTCGCAGGCTGGGTCGGGCTCGGACGCGGAGCGGAGTTCGCAGTCGCCCGCGGCGGAGGCGTTCCCCGCGCTCGAGTCGTCGTACCGCGCGGCGATACACCCGGGCCTGGTGGACGAGCTGAAGACGTTCGAGGGGCAGCTCGAGGCGCAGATCAGTCAGGGGAACGCGTATTATGGCCAGGCGCAGGGCGGGCAGCAGATGGTGGCGCCGCAGGGGTATGGCGGGCAGGAGAACGCCGCGCATATTCAACATCAGGCGTCGCATTCACAATTACAGCAACAGCAACTTCAACAACAACAAAATCAGCAGCAGCAGCCGCTCCAGTTCGTTCAGCACTATCAGGCCGAGCCTCAGTACGACGTCGTGTCGCCCGCCGTGGCGCACATCCCGCAAGAATACCCGATCCAGTACGTACAGGCCGACCCGCAAGGTCAACAGTACGCTCTGCACCATTCCGAGCCCATCTCGAGGCGCGCGTCGTACCACGCCTCGGCGGCCGGCTCCGCACCTATGCACCTACAGCCTCCTACCGCGCACCACGTCGCCGAACAGCACGATATCCCCGTGTACGGAGGGTTCTCTAGCGCGTCGTCGGCGCAGCAGCAGCAGCAATACGACGCTTATGGCCGCCCGACGACGTCCTCGTCCTCGTCGCAGCACCAGGCGGACTCTGTGCACTCGGCGTATGCGGTGCCGTCCCAGCACTCGGAGTTGTGGAACGCCAATGGCCCGCCGCCGCTTGCGCAGGCCGAGTCGGCCGGAGAAGCGCATGCGTATGCACAGCAGCAGCAATACGTTCAGCCTCAGGCCTATCAACAGCCCCAGGTCGATGATCACGCTGCTGCACAAGCGCCGTACGCTCAGCATCAACCCCATGTTCACTCTCAGCACCAGCAGCAACACCCTCATCTACACCAACACCAGGTGCATCAACAGCACTACCAGCAGCACCCGCACCAATCCCAACACCAACCTCACCACCCACAACACCAACACCAGCCCCAACACCGGCACAGCCAATCCGTCCCGCACGTACCGCAAGCGCACATCCCGCCACACGCGCACATGCACCCGCCGCAGACGCCGGGGCAGTACGCGCAGGGGCAGCAGTACGCGTACACGCAGCAGGTGCAGCAGATGGTCCCGCCCCCGCCCCCGCCGCTCATCAACGTGCACACGGGCGGGTACAGCCTCCAGGAGACGTGGACGTCGTTCATCCAGCAGGAGCTCCCCGTGCCGCCGCAGGGCGGCGTGCCCGCGCAGAGCATGCCCGCGAAGTGAGGTGTAGCGCGGTGCGGTGCGGTGCGGCCGTTGTATTTGTAAGTGTATGGATCCCCCCCGGAGTGCTTTCGTCGTTTGTCGTGCCCTCGTCTGCCTTGCTTTCGTCTCTTTCTCTTTCTTTCCTCCTTCCTCTCTATCTCTCGCTGCAGCGCTTCCAGGCCCCCCTCTCATACTCTAGACATACCTGCAGTTGGTCTTGGCTCTGTGTCTCGCTCCGTCTGTCTGTGTCGCCCGTGGCCGCTCTGAATTCTGGATCCGTTCCGAGTCCGTTCTCCGTACGTATGCAATGTATGCCGCTGATGTAAAACTCTCT